GTATATTTATATATTATAATATATAAAAGAGACCAAGATGAGAGAAAGTTGATTCAAAATGGCACTCGTCGTTCACCGAACCAAGTATAATAGGTATAGACTATTTAATGTGAGAGTGTGCTCTTAAAGAAATTGTATTTCAGTAAAGTACCATCATAAAATATAATCGATAGATTTTGAATGCGCTTTTTTTTCTCTTTTTATATAATTTATTCAAATTAATTAATTTTTTCATCGTATGAGAAATACTTTTTTAATCGCATAAAATTGTTAACATTGCCATTAATGTAGTACCAAATAACAAAGTAGCGAGTTGCTTTAAAGATTCCTTTGGACTAGATTCTTTAAGCAGTTCTGGTAAAATTGTAACTAAGCCGATATGGAGGAAACCACCTGCGGTAAATGGTAAAATCCAACTTGTTTTTGCCTCTGTAACAAAAAATACGATAATAAATATAAATTATATATGCATTTATAATACAAAGGTTAACTTGATAGATTTCGAGTAATGAATCAGAGATTATCAGAAAAATAAGTATTTTCCGTATGCAGAAACATATTTATATCGGGGTCAAAGAAGTTATCAGTACAGATACGAAATATTGCCATATCCAATTTATAAATAGTTTATATAATCATACGATAAAGTCTGTTTTTCAACTTCAAGTCTCATTATTTTATTATACAAGATGACCCGAGTGAAACCATAAAAAAATCATATTATATTATCTTATACATTTTTAATAAAATATAATCTTTAAATTATATTTCCTGTAATTATTTACTCGTATTAATTTATTTGCAAGAAAGTAAAAGAAATATTGAACTTGCCAACTTCACCGCCAGAAAAAACAAGAGCAGCTAACGATCCAAAAATGCCACCAGTCGCAGTCAAAATTTGTGCCTTAGCAGCGTCCCATCTACTGAACCCGCTGCGAAGTAAAATAGCAAAATCGCCAACTTCGTGTGGAATTTCATGAACCAAAATGGCGAAGGTTGTTAAAGCACCTAATCTGAAGGACATGAGGAAGGATCCTCCTACAGCCAATCCATGAGTAAAATTGTCGATACAATTTGCCATAAGATTCAGATAGCCTGCTATGTGTTTTGGTCTGGTTTTTTGGGCAACAGTATCGACAACAGTTTGCTGAAAGACTTCCTTTGTATTGGATGATACTTGTTTTTTGTCTATGATACAACCATTCAATAATGATGGTGATGATGATGAAAAACCATTGTTTTTTGTAAGTTTGTTCAGACAATCCATAACTTCGTCAATCGACATACCATCAGATAGTATGATACCATTTTTATATTCTGATTTTAAGAAACCATTTGTTTTTGGTTTTTTTGTAATACCATTTACCTTCTCAGTATATCCATTTTTCATTAATTTCTTTTCCAAAAATGGTTCCATCTACAAAAACAAAAAAAAACACTTTATTAATTATATATATATAAAAAAAGATTTTCATAAAAAATTTAAAAGCAATCGTACTTCCAAAAGTTCATTAGCGACAAAACGTCGAACGTAGCCATTCTTTTGTTTCACCCCAATTACGTTAATACAATTATTATTCTCCATTTCTTTTTCCGTTTCAAGATTTTTTTTAATAATCTCCGACTGTTGTTGGTGGTCGTTGTCAGTCTGTATTTCATCTGGATCATGATCGAAAGCAAAAATCTTCTCAACAATAACAAAAACCAAAAAACCAGAGAGAACCCAAAGACCGCAAGGCATTGACGATAGATCTGGATTCGCAGCTGAAAATATAATTTCATTGTTCATATAATGATACTAATAATAATAATAATAATAAATTGAAGAAATAAAAAAAGGTGGCAGAAGAAGAAAAAGAAGAAATAATAAGAATATTGGTAAAAGAATTGAAATAGTTCGTGTGAATTATTCTCAGGACAAATCGTAAAGGATCGTCGCTATTGGTCGAGAGAGATAGTTCAATTTATCGGGGCACAGCTGGCGATTCAAATCCGCAACCAACGCATAATAGAGTTCGAAGGCGTTCTACAAAGAGTTCATTCATAAACCCTCTCTTCCTCCGGACGGAAGTTTCTTCTAATAAATATATATAACCCCGAGAATATAGTGCGTTTTAAATCCCGAGTTGTGATCCCTGCACGTGAAACAACACGCACGTGTTAACAAAATTTCTAATACACGAAAAACAATCTAATCTATAAAATCATATCTTTCTTCTTTTTTCTTTTTTAATTAATACAAATAACGTATCTTAGATATATTTTTTTTATTTAATTTGTATTAAATGCAAAAATTCATTTACGTATACACTCAATTTCATTGTCAGCCATTTTTACGATCTTCCGATTTATTATTATTCTTTTTCTTACCTCTTTTTAAGGAATCGTTTTCCCATGCTTCTGGTAAAAGATGTAAGAAAACATCGCCCAAAAGACCACCAACGGCAAAACTTAAAAGCAATTTCAATGTTCCTGCATTAGCTGAAAAAGAAAAAAAGAAAAAAAGAAAATAAGATAATACTTATATATAAAACAGTTTTATTCGTATAGATTTTGTTTTTTTGTAGGATATATCAATAATGTGATAATCGATAATACTTGACATCGAAATAAAATGTAATGTGTATTACGAACGTACGATTACGTATTTTTTTATTAATTTTTCTTTGTAGGAAAATAAAAACACTTACATTAAGTATATGTAATAGCATCGATTAATGTTTTTCTTCTATAATGGCTATCTATATATATATAAACACAACATGTCGTTGATTAATTATCTCGTAGATAAATTAAAGAGAATAAAAAAATAAAAAAAAATAGAAACAATTCAGTTGCGCTCAATTGCGACGCGTTAATATCGGATGATATCATAAAAAATACTTTAAAATAGAAACAGTAAAACGTGGGCTAATATCTCAAGTGAAATAAATATACGGATCGATTGAGGAACGTATGGCGAACGATGATAAGGTCAAAACCTTAAATTCTTTTCAACGGAAACTTATTTATCACGAATAATATACTTTTTATTATAGTTCGAATCGATAAACACAAGGAACAAAATTTCATTCGATCGATCCACTTATCTACGAGAAACATTCATTTTTTATTCTTAAATTATATGACTTACATATAAATAATAAATACTTGTTAAAAGTTAATAAGATTCAAGAGATATATATTATAATTTATGAATACTTAAATTCCCCATCATATATATTCAACATTTTTATTTTTATGAATACGTAGGTATGCGTCAAATTTGACTACAAAATGACCGCTTTAATCCGCCATTACGGTGAACTCAAAATAATTTTTTGCCAAACGCGTTGATAGTTCGTTTGTATTATATTATTTATCAAATTATTTTACACGTCAAATATTGATTTTCTTTCTTTTTCTTAAAATAAAATACTCCAACGTAGAACGAATAATAAAGGAAAAAAAAGAAGAAAAACGATAAAAAAAAAAATAATCGTGCAGTATATAATTTTTAATAAATCAATTAAAAAACTTAAAGAGAGACACGTGACTCTGCATGGAAATATGAAATTAATATATTCTTATTATCGAACATGCATTACAATGTCAAGAGACAGTAAACTGAAAACGATTGTAATAATAATTATATTATTTTTAAACAATAATGCAATCATTTAATGCAATTTTCTTACTTCGAAATATTATTATTATTATTATTATTATTATTATTATTATTGCAATATTTCAATAGAATTTCTTTTTTCTTGTTTACATAAATTGAATTCTCGTAACTTTCCGAATAGAAAAATGTTGGGGTACAATGTCGAAAAATGATTAATTCGCAAGGTATTTTCTAAAAAAGAAAAAAAACAAAACAAAAAAAAATGTTTAAATGATTCATATAAACTGCAACGAGCCATATTTTGTCATAACTTCTTTTTGGTCGTAGTTGGATAAAAATGCATACGCGTGCATAGACAGGAAAAGTTGTTATTATCAATGTCATTGTCTTTGCATAAGTAATGTGCACAAAACAAATAAATTATCATCAGCGGATGCCAGTGATCTGATTAATTAATGAATTTTAAGAATAAAATGTAAGGAAAAACCGAACAGTTGTGATATGTATATAACAGGAAAAGCCCCAAAGATCGGGAATGAAATAATGTCTCTCATATTTCTAGATACGCGTAAATATTTTATCACAAACTGGTGCGAGATGATAAATAGTAGGCGTATTAAACATTCTTCTTATTCCGGAAATCAACAGAGGAACACTTTTTATTGCAAGTTAGTCATACTATATGATTAATATGTTATATAGTAATGATAATAAATTGTTAGAGAGAGAAACAAAGTAATCGTTTAAAATAATATTACAAAAAAGAACAATATTAAAATGTGACAGAACAATAATTATTCTTTATCTATCTCTCTTTTCCTTTTTCTTTTTTTTTTTTTTAAATGATTATGAATTATTCATTCGAATTTAGTATACACCATTGAGAAAGCTACCGTAAATCATTATGGACGAATAATAAACTTTGTCAACTATGTTATATACTTGACGATTTTAATTATGAATCGCAAAACGTCGATTACAATTTGCACAGATACGAGAACGATGAAAATAATCGTAGTTACGTCGTTAAGTTCAATCGTAAAATCAATATTGCTTTCTAGTCGAACGATAACGACAGATAGAAAAGTGTATAAATAATTTAATGAAAAATTATCACTGTGTGTAGCACGTGGCGCGATTTAAAAAGAAAACAAAAAGAAAAACAAAATAGCTAGCGTCATCGAAGATCATCAGAGAAATACTTTTTTTGTAACGAAAACACGTTGAAATAATCTGTATATCTGTAATTCTGATCGCGTCTTTTGCCACGTGATTAGAAATATGCATTGATTGACCTCGGATAAACTAAACGTATAGTAGAAGGATAACTATTGTACAATTTGCAATTGGATAAGAAGTTTAAAGTACGAAAAGATTTATATAAACGTGGTTTCTGTGTGTGTGTGTGTGTGTGTGTGTATGTAAAACGATAATAAATACGAATTCTTGGGATTTCCGTTGATGTATCGAGTCTCTTTTTAAATAAATTATTATTATTATTTTATACCACGCGCGGATCTGTGCAGGATGTAAAAGAAAAAAAATACTCGACTAAAGTTCAAGATTTTTGTTGCACCCTGTATATCAAACATTAAAAACGAACAAAACAATTATTTTTCTATCTTTTATGCTTCTACTTGAGATGACATACTTCAAATTAGCATTTCAAGTGATTTCTAATACAAAAAGAAAAAAAAAAAGAACAAGAAAACTCCGAAAAACATTTTGTTTTTTTTTCAAGCTATCGCATACATAATCGTAGTAATAGTTTTTAACATTAATCTATTCTTGAAACAGTTTAAAGGTTTCATTTTTGCATGATGGAAGATCAAACATTCTTGCAGACTCACTTGACTTCGCTTCTTCTCTTGTTGCATGTTGCTAACAAATATGGGCGTATCACATTTATTGCATCGTTGAGAATTCTCTCTTTGAATTATCTTTTTTTTTTCATTTTTAAATACGAAAAAAATTATATTATGATTTTAAATGATTCTATATATTTTTGTTGTTGAAAAATAATAATAATAATTATAATAACAACGATAATGTGAATATATAATAGCGAAGAAGTAGATATTATAATAAAGATAATAAAACTAGGCTAAAGATATTTGTTATGAACTTAACTACGATTCGATTAACATAATCTATATATCCTTTGCTCTGTTAAGACGTATTTATCAAATCGCAGCAGCAACGTGAGAAAGAGTTCAATTCTAATAAAAATGATAATGTCATCAAAAGAAAATAGAAAAAAGAATGATGATATTACAACGAGATAACTTGATGATCAAAGTTCGTATTAACACGTGTAAGGCGTTGTAAATAATAATGTATAATATATTTCCTTCAGTTTGTTATCGTTTAACTTTATAGTGTTAAATAAAAGAACAAATTGTAAATAAGAAGTTGAGAAATGTTTTACATTAGGTGTTAATTCGAAATAATCATTCTATTTTATTGATAGATTTATCAAACTTGCAATGTTATGATATTTCCTCCCCCTACCCTATTTCTTTTTATAATATATGTATTTGATATTGTATGATTGGTATTTTAGTAAAATTGTAATAAATCAATGAAAAACGAATTAAATGGCATCGATTAAAGTGTTAAACAATTAAAATGCCATTTTATAATTTGAATTTATAAAATAACTGACGCAATATGATCATGTGATATTTAAATGATATAGTAAGAGTATATTAGTTTCATTTAGAATGTCTCGATAAAGTCATGATACTGATATTGTCGAGGTATTAATGTTTTAACCAAGCGACGGTAGCAATGAAAAGCGAATGATTAGAGTTGTCGGCTAACCGCATAATTTTAAAAGGTTAACATATATTTGTAATGATACTATCTTTATCTATCTAGATATATATATATATAAGATTATGTTATTCGTCATAACACAGATCAATATCTTGACGATATAAAAAGAAAAGAAGAAAAAAAGGCGAATAATTATCTACCGAGTTTCGATAAAAAAGATTCCTTCTTCTAATCGTTGTTAATAATAATAATAATAATAATAATAATGATAATAATAATTGTAAAAAGAAAAAAGAGAGAAAAAAACATATAGAACAATATAGTAGCGTTAGAAACATGTTAGATTTGAGAAAAAAAGAAATCATTTTCAATCGCAATTTTGTTTTTGTCTAATTGTAAATAATAATTTGCGTCATCGTTAATTATTACGTGTGAGATACGAAGATTGTGTTGGTAATCTTATCGACGATAAATAATCTTTTCTTGGTGTTGAACGATTGTGGGAAGAAGAAAAAAATATGTTTTTCTCTTTTTCTTTTTCTTTTTTCAATATAATAAAAATATTAAAAAACGATATTGCTTCTAACGTGACCAAAAAGAAAAGAAAAAAGAAGAAGAGTTCGGTATATTAATTAAAAGTTATTCGCGATATACGATGATTTCTCTTCCACGTACTTTCTCTTATCTTCTTACCCCTCCCCCCCCCCACCCCACGTCAGACTTGAAATGTCATGAAGTTTTTGCCCTTTTTAATTTTTTTTTTCTTTACGTTAATATTTTTCAAGCTCGATAACAATCGAAAGAAATTTATCAAACTCATTTTATTTTTGGCCATTTATTTTGATTAATATGTTAAAGATTTGTAGATTTGTATCATCGTTTGCAGATTAAATCAACGATTACTATTATAATATATTTATTTATATAATAATATATATAAAATTGAATAAAAAAAGAATAAAAAATAGGTAATACATTTTTCTTTAAAGGTATGCCACGTGAAGAGACTTCAAAGAAGTTTCGTGACCTTGGTACTAGGATCGTATTAAGCCAACGAGTGTGTGTGTGAGACAGAGATAGATTGATTAAAAAGAGACACAGTATATCAAAAGAAGAGAAACGAAAGAAGAAGAACCATATGTATCCCGGTTCCATCCAACAATGTCAATCCAGTATTAACATAATCCTTTCATTTTATTTTATTTTAATATTCTTTTCCGGTTCTTGTTTTGGTCACCTAATTTATGATGCAACGATAAACCTATTGGGCAAGATCTTATAATAAACCGACGTTTACTAATTCCATTTAACAATAATCATCCTAGTATTTTATTCATTTTTTGTTTTATTTCAAGTTTCCGTTTTAATCGTCTGATTCATACTAACAAAATTTGTTATGATAAAAAAAAAGACTACGCGCAAGTATTTTACTTATTAATACCATCGATCATTTATTCGAGTATTAATATCAATAATCCTTTTTCTTTTTTTCGAATTCTTGTTTAAAAATCATCTCATTTACGATAACAATGATAAAACTACAATTTGGAGTGAGTAAGTAAGTACATAAATACTGTATTTATTAATTCTATCAGACAATTATACCTCCTTCCCCCCGCCCCCCCGGTATTAAATATAATCCCCATTATTGCTTTGTTTTGTTCAAGTATCTGTTAATCTTTTGATTCATGATGACAATGATAAAATTATTGGGAAAGTCGATGCTTGGTATTGTGTAAAACGTACACTCATTTTTTTTTTTTTTAGTACTGTTTCTATCCATCATGTTTTGTCATTTTATTTGTTTTCAGCTTTGGATGCAGCTCTGTTTGTATAAAACTTATTTTATTTTTATTTATAAACAGAAAAAAAAATATATATATATATATAAGCTAAGCTACCACCATCCATCCAATATGCTTGAGCTTAAAAATAGCTACGTCATATTTCACGAGAGAATAAAGGCGCCCTCTGGCAAGAAACTTCTATTAGAATTGGGATTTCTCCATTAGACAATATATAAGCGCGGGAATTTTTAAATATTTAAAATATATTCGAATAACTGCCATTTCTACGATCATGAATTCACTAAAGGTCTATAAATGTGAGAGTCAAATTGGAATGTTATATATTTTTTATTTGCCGAAAAAAAAATTGTCATTTTTTGATTCGATCAATTAGAATAATAGTCTCCTTAAATAATTAACACCATTTAGTTGACAATGCTAAGGAACGGTTAATTGTAATATACCAAGCATTCGTGGTAAAAATATTTTTAATGAATAACAACCCTGTTGCAATATTTCAAGAATGATTTCGTCAGCAAATTAACATTGCACATTATGGTGCAATATCCTAGCTGAAACACGATCAAGTTGTTGACGAAGAACCTTCAAGATCAATTGTTTTTATACCCCAAAAGAAATTATTTTACTTGATCTTTTGCACAGCGTGAGAACTTGGTCAAATATTGAGAAAGTGAAGTAAAAAATAATTAGGAGTCTTCGAAGTTCGACGAGGAAAATTTATTGTAAAAAATTGCTGTTAATAAATATCATATTTCCTATTTCATTAAAAGAACTTAGCAACACCTTTACTGGAAACAATTATTTATAATTTGATCGGAAATATTCAGCGACATTATATCGAATGAAAAATATCTGGTATAAAATGTTACGAGGTATTGTTTGAAATACGAATGCGCTTTAATTAAAATATCTTTTCCTAAATTTGGACAGGAAAAAGCGTTCCATTGTCCATTCAATTATAAATGAATCACGCGCATTATTTATTTCGACGGATTTCCAATGACGAGTTACCGACTCCTGCCAAAATCTAACGCCAAGAATATTATACAGGGTGATTCGGAATAATTAACAGAATAACTTTAAAGCTTGCAACTTCGGGAATTACCAATAAATTTTTATTATTATTATTTCTTTTTATTTATTAATAATATATAATATATATAACACTGTAAAAGAAGATAATAATAATTTACGACAAACGTTCAAATGATCATCATTCGATTAATAAACAGAATTCATTGTTAATTTCAGTAATCATTATTCGTTCGTTTATCCTACGACGAAAATGATAAATACCAATGAAATTGCTATCTTTCCTCGTGTAAAATTCAAATTTACATTCTTGATTATTTACATATGAAAATGTTCAACACAGTGCATTACGAAACGTGTTACATTTAATGTATTACAAACATATCACAATTGAATGAGTGGCGAGACAATTGCATAACTTCTGTTTATGAAAGGATAATGTCATTGTTCGTTAACTTATATGCGAAAGAAAGGGAATGATGATTCAAAACAGACCCTAACAGATCCTAACAGGTCTTAACAGGTCCTAACAGGCTCTGTCTGAAGATAGTGCATGGCGGTACAGGATGCAGTTCGCTAAGAAAATGCGATTGAGTAAACAAACATATTTTGGAACACCCCTAATCGGATATAGTCACAAAAATATCAAACAATACGCAATAAACCTAAGGGTACACACGGCAACAATATTTCACCAATGGCATCACAGTTATTGATCACTAACAATAAAGCGAGAAAACTGAGATAATTCTATACAAACGATGGACAAATGAAATGGATGAATATGTAATGCGTTTGTTTTTACATGACAACACAACAATGGAAACAATTAAAACTGCATAATGAATCCGACTAATACATTAATAGTCCACCCATTCATACTTTGTTGACAAAAAAAATCCGTATGAATGATATAAACCGGGTTTACCTGATTGCTACTGAAAAGGAATCGAATAATAATAATAATAATAGTAATAATAATCATAATCATAATAATAAAATACCTCCATTCTTGAGATCAGCTCCTTCTTCAATTGGGATGACCAAAAGCGGTAATATACCAGCAAGCCCGACCATAGTACTGCCAAGTATCGAAAAGAACCAAGGATTGTATGCTATAAAATAGGAATACTCGTTCCAGGAGAACGAAATATCGCCGGAAATCATCTCGAAAAGGAATCCGGTTGCATCCTCGGAGCAATTTTGAGCGCACATGTTTAACGCCATATTTTCTTTTCTTTTCTTTTTTCTTTTACTATCGCCGCCGGCGAGTTTTAGTTTCTCTCACGACGGCGTTTGTTACTTTGTGTAATTCTCTCTCCCTTTTTTTTTGTTTATTTCTCTTTCTTTCTTTTCTTTTTTTCTCCAAAAAATATTCTTACTATTTATTATTTATTATTATTATTATTATTAATATTATTATTATAATGATATCACAGTAGGAATTAAAATTCTTTCACCGTATAATAACAAACAACTTCCTCTTATTACTTTTATCATCAATCGTAGTTTCAAACTTCGACGAAGAAATAAAATTTACAAGACAATTTCATTAACATTATCCTTTCGTTGTTCCTGTTGTATTAATCTCGTAGTTATTTAATATTTTTCGTTTTTTTTTCGTTAGAATCAGGGAGGGTAAGCCTAAAAAAAAAATAATATGGATTTCTGTAAAACATGACAATTCTTTCTCCCTTTTGAATTAAGAGTCCAAAAAAAAGAAGAAGAAGAAAATGAAAAACAAAAGAAAGAAGACAGAAAGTAAGGTTATGTTACGTCATCTCATCATCAACAATAACAACGCAACAAACTAGGGATACCTAAAAAGAAGGGAACGGGAAGAGAACAATGTAAAAAAGGTAAAAAAAAAGGAAGGTAGTAAAATAGAAAAGTAAGGGCATAAGAAAGAAAATGTTCATTAATGAACACCTAAATATGAAACCCCCCCTCGCACCTTTGGAAAACTATAGTAGCACCTTGAGCGAGCCGACTAGCCTACACTGAGGACTCAGTTCGGTCGCTTGGGGCTGAATTCGTTGCCGCGCCTCTTGGCCGGCGTATTTTTCTCTCGTCTCTTTCCTCGATAAGAGGAAATAAATATTTGGTAGTCCTTCCCTTCGGTTATTTTACTTCATGACGATGATGATCGAGGTAACCCTAAAATATTGATGATTATCCTCGCGGTAAGTTTTCATATATGCCCGCTTCCTCCTCCTCCTCCACCTCCTCTTTCCCTTCTCTCAACGCTTCCTTCCGAAGTTTTTCTTTTTATCTCAAACAAACGCATAGGACACCACTTTTTCTATCTTTATCTTTCTCTCTTTTTTATTTTTTATTTTCACACCGAAGATGATAAATACTTTCTTTCTTTCTTTTCGTTGTTTGTGTTTCTCGAGTGTCTTTTCTTTTGTTTTTCCCTCTTTCTCTTCAACAAATTTCAACTTCGTGTTGATCCCTTGAGGAAACAGCACACAAAGAAGAATAAAAAGTAGAAGAAAAAGATTAAAAAAAATAAAATGAGTAAGGTAAACAGGAGTATAATAACACTCGAAAAATATGAGCAATTAAAAATGGTGGATAATCAAACAACACTGCAAGCAGACACGATTTCGACTGATCGCATTACGTAGTAAGCGGACCCTTTTATACCATCCGCCATGTTTAGCGCATGTCCCATCATGGCGGGGAGAATGAGAAAGAAAGAAAGAGAGAGAGAGAGAGAGAGAGAGAGAGAGAGAGAGAGGGAGAGGAGAGAGAGTTTGAGAGGAAACGAGCAAGTATATATAAGAAAAAAAGAGAAAGAGATATAAAATGGTAGATGGAAGTGAACGAATGAGTCGAGTGTATGAGTATGATGTGAGAGGAAAGGAGGGGAAAGTAGGAGGCCAATAAGCGGCGTAAAAAAAGGAGGGAAATAATAGTACAGAGTCTTCTTTTTATGTCTCTTTGCTATTCCTACTATAAGTACTATGACCGTTTACGAAAGAAATCGATAGAGTGACGCTGCTGCCGGTGCTGAACAACTTCCACTGCTACCACGGCTACTATACTGGTTCTCCTGTATTATAGTAGTTGTATGCTTCTGTAATTGCTTTCTTCTTCTTCTTCTTGTTATTCTCTTGCCGTTATTGTTTCGTTATTCGGTTATTCATCCGGTATACATATATATTTATATTTTTGGCACTTGTTAGAAAAAAAAACTAGCCGAAAAAAAGAGAAATAAAATTAGGAATAAAAAAAACCCCGCTTAGCGTACTAAATGAACGCTGTGCGACACGATAATCGCGACTATGCGATTACTTTTGTCTCCGTTAACGGACAACCCTAACCGATATTCCGATTATATCTTCTTTTCCCATCTTCCTCTTTTTCTCGGATTAATATCATCACATCTTTCTTAAACCACAAATGGTCTTTCTTATTCGCTCGAATTTATCGGGAGATAAATTTTATCTTACGTTACACTCGAACAATTCCAATAGATAAAATCTTTTTCTTTTTTAATCGAAGATTTCGAGACAGGCAATGATCCGAACCATACGGACTGTGAAAACAATTCATATATTAATTGTCAATCTCTCTCTTTTTTTCTTTTATTTCTTTTCTTTCTTTCTCTTTCTTTCTTTCTTTCTCCGTTGTCGATGTATTTCTATTCAAAAAAGAGTTTTCCAGAAAAAATTGATCTGGGGAATATTTATCATTATCATTATCAATAATAATCGACGTACACTTTCTCTTGTTATTTTCGTGTTATTCGCGAACGATAAGAATACAAAAAACATGTACTTTTTTTTTAATATCAATATTTTTTATCGAAAAGATACATGTTGTGTATTGATATTATGTACAATTATTATATATATATATATTCATATTCTTCTTACAAATAAGTTAGGATTTAACAATAGCAAATTTACATTCACTAAGAATAAATTTACATTCCTAAAGAAACAAAGATATGGATGTCATAATTCTTCGCGAAAACAAATAGGGAAACAAAAGAGTTTTATTAAATATGATTTACTATTTTCTTTTGCAAGTATTTCAATTTAAACATTTATACGGTATAAAAATGTTATTTAAACATTTAACAGTGTTTTTAGGTATGTATTATTTAACAATGACACGTTATTTATCGGTAACGTCGGTAATCTAGGAAGCAGTAGCAATTACTAAAACTGAAAGATTTCTCCATTACCAAGCATTGATACTAATTCATGATCCCATCTTTTGGTCATAAAAAAAAGAATTCGAATTTTGTACTTTTTGTTCACCCGTGCATTGGGCGGAACTAATTAATCAAGTTTTAAGTGGCTCCAAGCCAAAACGCCCGGGTTTGATTCTCGAACAAGTAGTTGAAACCACCTGTAGTAGAAATGTACTTCATTAATTCTTCCAAATTTCAGATTTAATCAAGAAACCAATAAAACATTAATAACAATATAGAACTTTTTGTGTTTTCCTAATGTTCTCGTGACTCCTACAATTTTTATCTAATTCAGATGCAATTTTGTTTACTTAAAAAACGGATAAAAATGAAATCTTCACGTGAGATTATTTCCCTATGAGAAAATATTAATTTTATTTTAAATACGCGATGTCGCATGCTAGACGTAAAAAAAATATACCGGCATGAAATATCAATGGCGTAGACGCAGCATATGAAAAAATTAGCGGTTTAATTATTTTATTTATTATTCTTATTAATAAAAACCTAGTAAAAAATGTAAGATATATTAGGTATAAAATTGGATGGTTTGAAAATTAACGTATAAAAGCGTTTGGAAAATGTAGTTTTCGACATGGTCGAAATAGTTTTTGAGTGTATGCTGCGATTGCCCTCTACTGGCCGTACAACTCCCACATGGCATCATACACAGCCACTCCAGTCATTCTATTTCGAGTAAGCAGAGAAACTTTCGAGATTATTTTAGTTACATTTTTCTCCTCTACGACTGTCGGTTAACAGGCACAGGAGCTTACTAAAATTCGATTAGTACGAGTTAATGTCAGGATGACCGAATAGGTCCACTTCTGTTTCAGTCGCGAACATTTTATTCATTTTCAATTACCAAAAGAAAAGAGAAGAAGTTTAGGATAAGGCCTGTTACAAATTTCGAAATTTCATTTTGTTATAATATCTGTGTAAGATCGAACAAAATTTAACCAAATTTATAATAAGTACTCGAAATATTTGATAAAACATTTATTTATTTCATTTATTCATTCATTTATTTGAACAAAATATCGCTGCAGCTACTAATTCGGAAGACACTTCCTAATTTCTGATTTACTAATTAATTGAAAAAAAGAAAAAGAAACACTATACAAGTATAGTATTATACATTTATTCCAAATTTGTAACATCCTAAATCTGTGTTGTGAGTATTGCACTGTAGTGTTAATTACATTTGAAAATTTCAGATCGTGCGGGGAGATTTGAAATAAATAATTAATCACAAGACAAATAACACAAAACCCCGATATAAATAATTGAACATCCAATTAATTAATTACTTCCTTTTTATATACGTTCGTTCTTTCGTGTCTTTCCTTCGTTTTAATATTTGTTTTTTAATCAAATTCTACGCGTGTCATCGATGGATATACGAAGAATGTCCAATTGGAATGTCCTAAGTGTGGAGGCAGCATTACAACAACTCAATTGTTTCGAAGAGGATGGAAAAGAGAAAATAATCAAACGTTCTAACACGGTGAGAACAAATAATCAATTAAATCAAACATATTTTCATTATTTTACTCGATTATATCCTAGAGTTTATACAAGCAAAATTGTTTAGCCGATAAAGTCTGGGACACTCTATATATATATATATTATACTATACTGATTTTATTACTCTATTTTAATATTATATATTTTCTATAATATATATACCATATTATATTATTACCAATGTAATATTATGTAATATTTCTCAATATATAATGTAGTCATATCACATTTATTTATTGATTAATAGCGGAATGTTTTTGATCATGCGAATTCCTTACTCGCACACACGTGCACTCGCATAGAGACATAAATTGTCCAGGAATGTTAGGAGTCATCTTTTGGCAAGCACGTTGATCGTCATTGGTCAAAAATGTTGATACATTTATCGGCACGTTTTTAACCACATTTTCTTTCTCTCTTTCTTCGTATTCGTTTCCTGTTAGAAACTAAAATGTATTTATCGATGATGTCCCTTGAAAATGTCAATAAGAGCTATCTATTCTGGCACACAACACAGTTAAACTCTGTGTCAGCTAACTCTTGTCTTTATTTATAACTAATTAAAGTAGACTCACAGTTGGATTTGTCCACTCTTCTAGATCGGTCAAACATTGCTTCGATTAGTAGTCATTCTATTACTGTTAAACATTTTCATCGATCGGTTGGATTGTTCGTTAAATAATTTAGTGATAATTAATTAATGAAAGTTTAAAAAATGAGTACTTGGACTCGTTTGAACTTTGAACATGCTACCAGTGCTATATCCAGAGAAGATCTTGGACTTAGTATACGTAGAATTACGCTATCGACTAAGGTAAATTGTAGTAGAATTTTTTTAATTTAATCAAATAACGGTAATAACAATAGCAAAATATTTGATGAGTTTTGGAAATTTTTGAAGCCTCCTTTTTGTTTATTATTTTTTATTATAGTTATTATTGATATGTAGTATTAAAAAATTAGGATGTTAAATTTTAGTATTTTATACGTATTATAAATTTTAGTAAATTATATTATTGTGCTATTGTGTAATAATTTTATATTATATTATATACATTTTATTGTCATTATTTATAATATT